CATTTATATAGTGCTATGTGAACACAAATTAGTAAGCATAAATCAGTTAAATGACGAAAAATTAGGTGTCTATTTACTTGTGACCACTCAGTGTACATATCGTTTTCACTTTAACGTGAGTAAAATTTTGTGCCTATCGTTTACATCTTTTCTTTTTTGTATGTTTTTAAAATGAGTTAATATAATTCTATATTTAGCATACAGACTTACGCTGTTGATGCGTATCGTGGAACTTGATTTAGTGCCTGTTGTTGTGATGTCAGTACTGCATCATTTGGGTTTAAATAACCAATGAAGAACAAGTTTACAAATTAGCTATCTGAATAGACGAAAAGAGTTGTATCGGCTATCATCTTCATGTTATGCACACAAAAAAAGAAAGAAAAAAGAAGCGCGCGCGCACACACAAACAACAACAAACAATATGATAATTAGCCATCAACTTACAGGCCAACGAAAAATTTAATGTCTTTACTGTATACTCAGCTTCTGTCGTCCCAGCCTCATTGTGAGCATTAACGAGAAGATTATATTCGCGGCCTGGCGCTAAGTGACGTATGATAAATTGATTCTGTAGCGTTATTAGCGGTAGACGGGCAGTAATCCAGCGTCTCTGAAACGTAGTACGGTACTGGACGTTGAAGTTTTGAATTGGACAGCCTCCACTCTGCCAAGCTTCCAGATTCAACGTTAAAAATGTCGTGTTTGGCTGTATAAAGTCTTCTTTCCGAGGGGAGACTGGTGCTGATTAAGAAGAGAAATTTAATATTTGTTATTTAAAAAAGGTATATTTTATAGATTACTTTCTAGAATATCATGTTAATACCATTTCGTTCAGCACTATTAGAAAGACCAACTTCAAAGAAAATAAAACTTAAGATCCTTATAAATTCAACAGAAATTCCATTAATGTATTAATTTACAGCTATACTCTGATACAAGAAAACAAAAACAATTCAACAACTAATTATACAAAATAATTATGTCCCATTATTCCTCATAATTACATTATTACTAACATAAAAGTCGTCATTCGACAGTTACTATTACCTTAAGTAAACTAATACATTATTACTAACATAAATGTCCTCATTCGACAGTCACTATTACCTTAAGTAAACTAATACGTTATTACTAACATAAAAGCCCTCATTCGACAGTTACTATTACCTTAAGTAAACTAGTACATTATTACTAACATAAATGACCTCATTCGACAGTCACTATTACCTTAAGTAAACTAATACATTATTACTAACATAAAAGCCCTCATTCGACAGTTACTATTACCTTAAGTAAACTAATACATTATTACTAACATAAAAGTCGTCATTCGACAGTTACTATTACCTTAAGTAAACTAATACGTTTATTTATAAGTCTTACCCCCTCCTTTTGTTCTTATAGTAATAGGATCACGCGGTTCTCCACTTCCGAGGCTGTTTGATGACGTCATAAATAGGCGATACCGTGTGCCACATTTTAAGTCTTTTAATGTATATCTGTTGGATTCAACATTTATCGATTCTTTCATCCAATCATCGCCGTCGTGCTTGTAGTGTAGAGTATATTCTGGAAGAGAAAAATCACTTAAGAATGTCATGTTCAAAATCATCTGGTGGAGAATAGTACTTCAGTGAAGTGTTTCGTTCGAAAGAGTGGAGTTGGTAAATAAAGAAAGTAGTCTGGAAGAGAAAGTCACTGAACTCAGTTGTGTAGAAACACATGGATGAGATAGTGCATCAGTCAACAGTGTTATGTTACAAAGAACGTTGTCTGGAAACAAGAGTCATTACATTGTGGTATGTAGTAAATAATATAGTCTGGAAGAATACGGCGCTCCAGAATATTGAATTACAAAGAACGTTGTCTGGAAACAGGAGTCATTACATGGTGGTATGTAGTAAATAACATAGTCTGTAAGAGTACGTCGCTCAATAATATTGCGTTATAGAAAAAGGAACAGAAGGTTAATAACGTGTATAAAGCATTTCTTAAAGATATGTATTTTCAAAAGAGAAAACAAACCCAGTTTTTCAGAAGATGAAGTACTTAGTAAATCTGGAATTCGAAAAAATATCACAAGCGAGAGTTAAAACATTATCATTATGAGATGTGTACTTTTCAGTGTAACGAGATCAACGCGTCTGGCAGTGTTAAATAGTGTAATCTACATTCACGACAGTGTTTCATAAACCTGTATTGACGTCTTCGTTAAATATTGTGATAGATATACACGTTGAGTAGGATATTTTCAGTTTGAACTGTACCACATGCGGTATACACGGCCTAACCAGCCAGATCGGAGATTCCACATAGCCTTCTCTATTCCTGAGCCGCTGACAAATGGAGGCCAACATAACATCAGCAGCACCTGCCGCCTACACGGCTACTGTTATCCAGGTAATGACATTTATAGTGGAATTTGTCACGCGTGCGCAGCTGAAAGTGCGAAGCATGTTCGACGGCGTAACGTGTTGTCCCTTGTGAATTTTCGATTCGCATCCCGGCACGCTAGTAACTTGGCCACACCCGACCCTTGATGACTATTATTACACGGTCTACGAAAATAAACATTCGTGTTAGTTTTTAAGAATGTAAAACATCTACGTTGATGATAGTAATTAGTGACACAGAAAAATGTACATTCACAAAAGTATTAAACGATGTATTAGAAGCTGCGATCTTCTACGTAACAGGGACTGTAATAAAGTCTGAATATATAACAATATCAAACATGTAATAAAGTCTGAATATATAACAATATCAAACATGTAATAAAGTCTGAATATATAACAGTATCAAACATGTAATAAAATCTGAATATATAACAGTATCAAACATGTAATAAAATCTGAATATATAACAGTATCAAACATGTAATAAAATCTGAATATATAACAGTATCAAACATGTAATAAAGTCTGAATATATAACAGTATCAAACATGTAATAAAGTCTGAATATATAACGGTATCAAACAAGCTAACACTGTCATATATACGGATTGTATTACACTGTTAAGGACCGGCACGAATACAGGTGTTATATACTATTTAGCTAACACTGTCATATATACGGATTGTATTACACTGTTAAGGACCGGCACGAATACAGGTGTTATATACTATTTACTCGTGCCACGTATGCATACTAAATTATCCTGTGTAGGACCGTCATATAGGTACCTATACAGTAGAATTACACTTTTTATCATTGTTATGTATATAAAGTTTATTACACTGCGTAACATTGTCATTAATATATGCTTTATTACATGTTTGATACCGTTATATATTCAGATTTTATTACAGAAACAACTTATACAGACCCGAATACCGACTCATACATGTTTGTCTGATCATACGCTACCTTCTCTGTTATTACTCGGACATTTACTCAATAACTACTCCATGCATGTAGACAATAACATCAATATAGAACAGTATGCAAACATTTTGACCAAGACTGTAGCTCGAGTGTTAATGTCCCCAGGTTGGTCAGTGGTAAATTTACAGATTTATAACGCTAAAATACGATGTTCGATTTCCTGCGGTGGAGAGAACGCAAGCAGCCCATTGTGTAGTTTTGTTAAGGACCGGTACGAATACAGGTGTTATATACTATTTAGCTAACACTGTCATATATACGGATTGTATTACACTGTTAAGGACCGGCACGAATACAGGTGTTATATACTATTTTGTTTTGACGAACAAATGCTCCACAGATACACAACTGTTTTGTATAAAAGGGTGTGATTTTAGTATAATCTTTGTCAAAACAGATCAATGCTTTGTTCAGAAAATGTCTTTGTACTTTGTGTAGATTCATGCCTCGTCACGTGTCAGAAGTTATAAAGCGTCAAATTGTTCGACTGTCCAGATATGTTATGAATCAAATGGACATTTCCAGAACAGTAAAGTATCCCCGGTGTACTGTATCCATAATTCGAAAACGTCATCGAACTACAGGAAACTTTGTTCCTGGAAAGTCTACTGGTAGACGCCGACAAATTACTGCCCGATATGACCGTGTTTTTATCAAGTTAACACATCAAGGTCAAAACACGTCTTTCAACACCTTACGACAGGAATGTCATGAACACATTCATTACAGAACAGTGAACAGGAGAATGACCAAACAAGGTTATTTTGTAGGACGGCTTGTTAAAGCTGATGGCATGATTTGTATTTGTCGTTTGCCTGGAGAACAGTTGAGGGAAGGCTGTCTGTCCCATAAGGAACACACAGGAGGTGGTGCAGTACATATTTAGGTAGCTATTCATCATGGTGGAAAAACTGCTCTTCATATCCTCCAGGAAAACGTCAATGGCGCCTCCTACAGACACCACTTGGAGACGATATTTCTGCCATATGCTAGGGAAAGGTTTTGTAATAACTTTGTGTTCCAGGACGAAAATGTTACTGCCCTCAATGCATGTAATGGACATGATTATCTCGACCAGGAGGACACTACAAGACTGTTTTGGCCAGCAAAGATTCCAGACCGTAATCCCATCGAGAACTGTTGGGCAGAATTGAGTCGGAAAATTGCTAACCATGACCCCCTAAACTAGCCACTGTAGCTAAGTTGCAGTGCCTTCTAGTGATAATATGGGACGAAATCACGGTGGATTACATCAATAACCTCATCGACAGCATGCCACGTCGCCTTGCGAAGGTTATTAGAATACGAGGGGGACCAACCAAGTACTCTATGTTGAATATGAACTGATATAAGGTTACAGACGCTATTCAAAATAATGTAATGTTATGTTTTTGTCATTATATATGTTTTGGTAAGATTTTGTTGTGATAGGTGAAAATGCTGAATTACGCATCTTTCTACAGGTGTCTGATAAAAATTGTTCGCTGTTCTGATAAATTGTTCATGATGTCCATAGAACCTGTCTCTTTAATATAATATGAATTTCTCAGCTTGACGGTGCTAAGTGTATTTGTATTCCATCTTAATAATAACGATCTTATTTGTTACAAAATATGCAAAAAGTTTGGCCAAGTCTGTATTAAGATCACTTCCTCCTTGTATTCATGTTCCTGATTCGACTCCATTATCAGTCGCTTACTTTTATTCACTAATTCAGTGTAGAAGGTGAAACGAAATGGTGTGATAATAAGAGAAGCTGAAGAGTAGTGACAACTACGAGTGAGTTTCTGTAAAGAGCAAGAAATTTTAAATTCAAGAGGCCTATTCGCGGGGGGAATACAACATGTTTCCGCCACGCAATCACAACATGGCCAGTTTTTACATCAGAAAAACTGTGAAAAATAGAGAAAAATCTATATTGCTTCTTGGGACCTGCATGAAGGTATCTTTGTACCAAATCCCACGCAAGTTGGTTGAATAGTTCACGAAAATCCCAAAATGTGCTTTCCCCGTTGAAAAATTGAGCAAAAGACAAAAATTCCAAAATTGTCTATATTTTTATTTGGGACCTGTAAAGAGTATCTATACACCAAATCCCATGTAATTTTTCAGAGAGGTTTTTGGTAAATTTTGACCAATTTACATGGGATTTAGTATATAAATACTTTTCTACAGGTCCCACACATTGACAAACAAAAATGGTGGACTTGCCCATTTTTAGTAATTATAGATGCCACAAAAAGCATAATTTTAGTTTTTTTTGACAAGTATTTCGCCTTATTTCGAGCCCCCCCCCATAAAAGACTAACAATATACAAGTCCAACTATTTTGTATGTCAATGTGTTGGGCGCATGAACATTTATATTTGTGCAAATTTTTATCTTGATTGCTGTAAATATGACCGCACATGAGCCCAAAATACATTTTTTTGGGTTGTTTGACCTTTGACCCATAAAAATCCTTAAAAAGGCCTGAATAAAAAAAATGAAACAAAATTGTTGGGCGTATTGGACCAAGGTATAATCCAACCAAATTTCAAGTCAATCCGTCGAGAAATGAACGAATGGCAGTCCATTGAGAGGTGTTTGGAAAACAAAAAAGGAAGACTTAGAAATAGAAGAAAACATCACGTCTCTGGACGGTGACACAATAAGCGTAAAAGTTGAAAGAAAGAATAAAACAAAGTTATTGTATGAAATAATAATATATTTATATATGTATATAAACTTGCATACATCGTGAAGAAAAGTGATGTACGTACTTCTGAAGTTATTTAACAAAATCACTATTCATGATAGTGTTATACAGTGAAATAAAGTCGACATTCGTAACAGCGGTTAGTAATATAAAATAACTACATTTATCATAACGCTAAACAGTAATAAATTAGGCCGACAAAGATAGTGCTGATTAGTGCTATGGTATTTACATTTCTGACAGTGTAAAGACAAGAAATAAAGTTTACATATAACAGTAATAGGCTGCAGAAGAGTTTTCAGGAAAAAATGATTTACCTTTCAGAGTGTCGCCATATTCGTCTCGCTTCCACTGTATGGTTATAGTTGAAGGTGATGTAGAAATTACAGATATAACAGGAGAAGTGGGTGGAGCTAAAGAGAACGAAATAAAATGATTAAGTTTGAGGTTTTCCTTTTGGCGTAGCCATTATTGCTATAATAGAAATTAAGTTAAACAGATTAATTTTAGGTTTTTCCTTTTAGCGTAGCCATTATAGATATAACAGAAATTAAGTTAAACAGATTAAGATTTAGGATGAAGCTAAACAGACTGAAATAAACAGATTAAGTTTTACGGTTTTCCTTTTGGCGTTGACATTATGGATATAATGGAAATGAAGCTAAACAGAACGAAATATATAGATTAAGTTTTATGTTTTTCGGTTTTTTTTTGGCGTAGACATTATAGATAGAAATGAAGCTAAACAGATTAAGTTTTAGGTTTTCCTTTTAGCGTAGACATTATAGATATTATATAAATGAAGCTAGACAGAACGAAATAAACATATTAAGTTTTCGGTTTTTACTTCAACGAACAGTAACCACTTTCTATCGACTCCCTAGTACTTGTCATCTGATACAAGAGTATCTTCATTGGTTATTATATTTTGTGGAATGAGCATACATCATTTAATGTTGCGGAATACGAGAATAATCTGCGAAAAAAAAGAAGAAACAGTTTGTATTAAAGTAAAGTTCAGGGTGTACTTGACACAGGGAAACACATTGGATTTATGTAAATACAAAATATATTTAAAAATGATTTCACAAAATCTATAGATGAGTTTACTACATTCGTAATATGTCCTCAGTTTAAGTTAAGCCTAATAGAAATTACAGGGATGTCATCGATTTTGTCAGGATCTCAAAAATTAAAAAAAAAGTTATTTATTTACATTCTTGGAAAAATCTACAACACGTTCTGTAAAGCTAGTTAGTGATAGTTTACAAATATGTTTATGTTTGTAAATATATTTTGCAGTAGCAATGTTTAGAGTATCTAGACGTGTCAACGGGGGTCGTTAAGAGGATCTGGAGACGAAGCCCCTAGCAGGGTTATAGTGGCAGAGCCCTATTTAATTTAGGCCTATTACATGGTAGGCAGTAGTGTATGTGAAAATAGTGTCCACTAATTAAAAGACAAATGTAAGAAATGCAAAAGGGTTAATGTGAGATACACTATCGAAAACTAAAAGAATAATAAATCAGTGCGCGTGACATTAAGTAATACCAGATCTAGTGTAGCTTAATACGGTTATTTAAAAGATAATCATTTTCAGAACATTTCAACCTGAAACGTGTAAAGCGACGGTACCTATTTACAAAAATATATTTCAAGAATTATAACTTCATAATTCCAGCCGGATCAGGCCACGCCGGTGTAACTTACTTCGGTGTTATCCTCGAAGTTAGTTCAACCTTATTTTATTAAAGGTTTGCGTCTTACCTGTTTTTAGAATAACAGGTTTTTAGCAACTAATTTTTCACATGTTTTTAAAGTAATAGATGGACCCTCAGACCTAGACTCTCGCTATTCGTTATTAAAGGCTTACTTCTTACCTGTTTCTAGTATCACAGCGTACGTTTCGTCCGATCTAGGCTCAGCTCCTACGTCATTAAACACTCCCTTCTTACCTGTTTTTAGTGTCACAGCGTACGTTTCGTCCAATCTAGGCCCAGAGCCTTCCTTATTAAAGGCTTACTTCTTACCTGTTTCTAGTGTCACAGCGTACGTTTCGTCCGATCTAGGCCCAGCTCCTACGTTATTAAAAGCTTGTACCAGGACGGCATATTTTGTATTCCGTTTCAAGTTGGTGAGATAGGTGATGTAGTGAGCTCGAGTGGACTTCCCTACACGCTTGTACTGGAACGGATGGTCACTGTCTGTTTGTTTGTAACCCAGATAGTAGCCTTGGATGGCACCGTGCTGAAGTTCTGGCTTCGGTGGCTGAGGTAAACATTATGGCACTACGTTAATTGTAAGATGTGGTTTTCTAATTTCTATTAATTGCTGATATCTTAAATATTACAGATTCTATGTACTCCTGCAGCCATTTTTATACACATGTAATGAGTTGTATACAAAGTATTGATAAAGCCTATAAAGGAAAGCTTGTTTGTTTATTGTTAGGCTTAAAGCTGCATAAAACGCTATCTGATCTGTAGTCACCATGGGGATCGAGCCCCGAATATAAGTGTCATAAGTCCTCAAACTTACCAAAAAGCAACCAGAGGACTACAAAGAAAAGATCAGGAATGGCCATTTTAATAGAACATAGATATAACGTTTCTATTCCCGTGTGAGTTCTTACAAGATTTAATTCCCTTACCGCTAGGCGATTTTTGGGTGCTGAACTAGGAGTCATCACTCATAAAGAACATAATTATTTAAAATCCAAATTCTTAGTTAATTAAATATAAAGACAGTTTTCTCTTTACTTTAGAAACTGTTGCATCTGGGAACGTATGTTATTGAGTAATAATAGCAAGATAAAGATAATAATTTATTATTTACATACATCGGACAAGGGAGTATTACATTAGTATACGAAAATAACCTGCAGGTTATCTGTATTCTATAACATGACAACAAATAGCTGGTCTCGTACTATCAAAATTCTTGCTGGTATTTCAAAGAACCCGTATTATGAAGCATTTTACTTGCTTTGATGAACGATGTGTTTTAGAACGAAACATTCATGTTTTGGTAAAGTTGAAGTCAAACAAAATAGATATCCTTAAAATTTACGTTAAGTGTTAAGACGCATTATGTGGTTTTATGATGGAACTATACATCGATAATTGAACTGTTATGTGACCACCGGGTATCAAGGAATCAGTACTAATGTATTATGAAAGTGTTCCATGGGCACAGAAAGGCTAAGTTTAGAATTCATACTCTAGTGAAATGTTCTGCTTATCGTTGAAGCAAGGAATGCAGTATACTGGTGCTATATTGGTTTTAGGAACTATTGTACAAATAATTGATTTCACAGCACATATGATTTTGTATTTCTATAAAACAGTCACGAAGTTTTATTGCCATAAATATCGATGGGTCCATTCCAGTCCTTGAACCTCTATTGCACGAATTACGAAAATAAAAATATGGATGAAAATGTTTTCTTTGAATTTCTTACTTAAATAGATCTATATTGCACAAAAAATGTTATATATGTTACATTACCTGGAAGTAACACTGTTCAGTTGCGGAACGAACATACATATTTCCATGTTTCATTTACTGTTACCTGGAAGTAACATTGTTCAATTGAGGAACGAAAATAAATATTTCCATGGTTTATTTAGACTGTGACCTGCAAGTAACATTGTTCAATTGAGGAACGAAAATAAATATTTCCATGGTTTATTTAGACTGTGACCTGGAAGTAACATTGTTCAATTGAGGAACGAAAATAAATATTTCCATGGTTTATTTAGACTGTTACCTGGAAGTAACATTGTTCAATTGAGGAACAAACATAAATATTTCCATGGTTTATTTAGACTGTTACCTGGAAGTAACATTGTTTAATTGAAGAACGAACATAAATATTTCCATGGTTTATTTAGACTGTTACCTGCAAGTAACATTGTTCAATTGAGGAACGAAAATAAATATTTCCATGGTTTATTTAGACTGTTACCTGCAAGTAACATTGTTCAATTGAGGAACAAACATAAATATTTCCATAGTTTATTTAGACTGTTACCTGGAAGTAAGAGC